GAAGCCTTCAATTAGAGTTTTCTCGTTACCTTCAAAAGTGACAGAGTATGGTACTTTAATCGTAGCAAGTATATGATGTATTTTTTTAAATCCATTAATACTCAATGCATTTGATATGGAGAACGTTCCTTCAAATTCCACACCAGTTTTACTTGATATTATAGTTTGATAATTTGGTATAACTATCGTACAGTCTATACTGTTACATGGACAAAATGTGATACCAAAATTATCTGGATACAAAGGACCATCAATTGTGCATTCAATGTGTTTGTCTTCAGTCCCAGTGATACACACTCGTTGGAGTCTTTCCGTTTCCACTAATGTATACTCTCCAATTTGGTGTGTTCCATTAAACACAAAATTTTCATGTTGTGCTACTGCAAAATTCACACATGTTGTGATTTGATCAATTTGAAGACTTTCTATTTTTAAGTCGATACTATTTGCACCAGAAAAGATGGCTTCAGTTGTGAGACTGTTATAATTACCAGAGATATGCACGTGTTTGGCTAACATTTGATTCTTCACGTGGATATTCACTCCGTCTTCTATAGTCACACTCTCACATATAAGAACTGTGTCGATCACATAATTTCTGGTCCCAGAAAACACACAATTGGCGATGACATGTTTCAATCCTTTTAATGTTCGATATCCATTCCCACTAAATGTCAGTGAGTGCCAGTATCTCTCAAACTCACCGCCATTATATTCACTTCGCGACATCACTAAATCAAGTTGTGAGTGCTCTTCTAGTGATGTTTCATTACAATCGAACTGCACAAAAGAGGTCTCATCCCGCATTTCACATTTACATCCAACACTCCCAATTGTACTTGCACTTTCCTTTGCAAATCTTTTGGTGTACCCGTCTCCTCCACATATCGACCGAATGCCGTTTTCCTCAAGCATTTGAATATTCTTTTCACTTAATATACTCGACAAGATGATGGTATGCTCGTCAATCAATTTATCTATTTCTACACTTGAAAAGCTCAGTTTCTGAATGATATATTCTGCTGCTGTTTCTATTGTGAGTTGCCCATTAATATGCAACCCGCCATATACTGTGAATGGGAATGTTGGGAGTGAGAAGTCGTTGTCTATTTCTAGTGCTTTTCCTGTCTCTATAGACACCACAAAAGTTAAAGAAGTCATTCTTTGTGGAATTATCATATCTGCCCAATGTGTAGTATTTACTGTATCAAACACAATGTAAGTGTTCTCACTCCCTAGTTCAAAATCAAACAATTTTCCAAGTTCTTTACAGTCGGGGTAGTTGAACCCCGAACTAGTCTTGACCTTCCCACTTGTTTCTTTCAATTGGCACGAGCAGTCTGTGAAGAGTCCTTTCGACCAAAAACATTGGACGTATCGAGTGATATTTTTCCTCTCACAAATGGGAATCATTTTATAGTCTGCAGCATCGACGTCTGGCGGTAACATATTTTCAAAGGAAAATTGATAGACACAGTCTTGTGTGGTCTTATTCACTCGAGCCGTTCGAACAAAGGGGACACTATACTCTGTCGAGTTATACCCTTTAAAATACACAAAAGCTTCGATGTTCTGTTTGACATAATAAAAGAATTGGTATCCCATTGAGTGCATATACACGGAATTTGAACTCAAAACAGTCAGATTTGTTGGCGCCCAAACATTCGCACGAACGCCAAAAAGAAACAAAAATCCAGGTGGAAGGTTCGAGTTATTAAAAGACCAAAATGACCGATCGCCATACTCTAATAAATACATCGACTTCAAGCCATGTCCTTCTTCAAAATAAATCGGATTATCACAATTCACATCGACATAATTCGTTTGACGACTCATTTGAATGATCGATAACCGGTCACTGTTGATCGTCTTTGATAATCCTCGTTTGATGAAATACTCCCCACCAAGGGTTAAACTCCCATTGTATTCCACTTCAAGAGAAAATGGCAATTCTCCACACTTGTCATTAACTACATAATTGAAATATTGATTGATCGTACTATTCGTCGCATTGAAACACACGTAACTTAACTCCCCTACAACACTTTGAAGAACCAGAAAAAACACCACCAAAAAGTTCATCAATAATATCAGAGTTTCGTTTTTTATTATTTCATTTTTTTATTCAAATTAAAGTGTTTTCGTTCTTTTGGTGTTTATAATAAATAATCCCTGTGGAATTTTCTTATCAATTGATCGCTTTTTGTTTAATTTATTTATTATTATATTATAATTTCTATCGTGTTTTATTTATAAGGTGAATTTTCCACTTATCAACAGCTTTTTCTAAATATAACCAGTAAATTTACTATTATATAACTAGTAATATTACTAATAAACAACTTAAAGATTATTATTATATAATAATTATTATTTATTATTAATTTATCATTATTATAAATTATGATACTTATATTATAATTATTTAATACAGTGATTTAAATTAACGTTTATATTAATTAACACATTATTTCTTTTATTGACAATAATTTTACTCGTTAATTTAAAAAGGACTTTATTAGTGAAAACAACAAAAAACCTCGTTAATTAACTTGATGAGAATACAAAACAGCTCGTTAATTAATAGAAACAAAACAAGGAGTTCGATGAGCTTTCAACCCTGAGTTAAATAGACTTCATCATAAATTTTCCTCATCTTTACATTAAGGGAGTCTTCATATCCTGAGCTGTCTGTAGCTATTGAACAGACAGCCAAAACCATTTCTTCAATTTCTTTTCTGAAATCTTCGTCGAGGCGAAGCCTTCCGAGAGCATATCTAACAAACTTGATGACTGTCTTTTCCTTCACGCCGACGACATTCATGTAACAGAGAATTCGCCGTACAGTCACTTTAACCCCTTTGACCTCTTCTTTGCGATAGCGGTCTTTCTCGGCGTCATTCATTTTTGTCCAGGCCTCTTTATAGTTCTGATCATAAGTCTTATAAATCCGGACTTTATCTATCCACATCATATCATTAAACATGTTGTTCCACACTTCTATCTCTTCCCATACATCAATGCCCGTTAATACATTCATCAAATCAGTCCGCTTCTCATTCTCGATCTTCCAAAATGTCGTCCCGCACTCGATCACGCGCCGCGGCGTCACAAAGTCCTTCTGCGCCAAAGCGTACTTCGCGGCTTGTCGAAGGATGTCGCCGATCAGCAGAAACACCTTTTCAGTGACACGGCCGACTTCTTTCTTCACACAAAACGATTGATACTTCCCAACCATCCGCTCAAGAAAAAGTTTCCGCCCTTCCATTGAAGATAAGAAGGAAAAGAGTAACTCGGTGTCTAAGCCATTGGTACTTCCTTCATTCATCATTGCGATAAGACCAATTTGAATGTCACAGAATTGGATCAAGTCGTTATTAAACACGACTTTCTCTTGATTCATTGCTTGTGGAGTTAAGTGATTGATATACCGAATCTCCTCTTCTTCATCGCGCCTCTGTAAATGCCCGTCTTTTGAAATTTTCATTTCAAGACGTAATGAGTCGATGTCAAATTTGGGTGTATTTTGTACTGCTGTTCGATCACTTTCTACTATGCGTTCATTCTCAGATAGGATTTGGTACTCTTCGATAAGTTGCTCTGTCGCTTTCAAGTAATAATTGTTCTTCTGCCAGTCTTCGAAGACGTGGTGGAACCGTTTTGGATATGTTTGAATGAAATATTGAAACGTTTGTGAGGTGAACATATTCTTTAAGAGATCCCCACGGTCGACAGGCTGATTACATCGAAACTCTTCATTAGAAAAGACCATCTCTTCCTTGTCAGCTACCCACGAATACCCAACATAATTTCTATATCTCTGTAACATCACATTAATGAACTGAAAGAGACATATCCGAACACCAATATCTATTCGAGTCTGATCTACCTCAGATAAGTCCTCGTCAGTGTCTCTACTCAAGTCTTCGTAACTTGTATACTCTTGTGACTTCAAAACGCGTCTTAAATTGGCGTACAACACATTCACTTCTTCTGGAACATCTTTTGTCTTCCCACGCTTCTTCACTACACCACGATCAATATCAACAAGTACGACTTCTTCAAATTCTACCATCCGCTCCGCTTCATCAATATACTCTGAGGGAACCCCTATCAAATAATTCATTGGTGATGATAAGAAGTCGAGGAGAGAGTATGGAAGTATATCTATACACACATTGCACCACTCTAATGGAAAGATCATCGACTTCATGTTCTCTATGGAATACACTAAATGACTCTTCGAGTGACTCGTCACTATGACCTTTTCATCCTCAAGAAGTGCAAGAAAGACACAGAGAACACCATCAATCCCCAATGTACTAAACAACGGAGAAATTCGGGTAGGAAAGAGGGGAAGACTATTGACCTCTGGCAAGTGGATCTCACTTGAGAACTTCAGTCTCTCAAATGTAACAAGTCGGGTCCTTCCGTGGACCGGCTTTGGTGTGTCGAAGATCACCTTTTTACACTCTTCCTCTATTTCAGAGCGACTTAATTTGTTCGATAAAACACCACATAACCACCGCCGCATGGTATAATGAATAGGAAATGGACTTGTGACACCCAACGCGTACGGACAATATAACACATCGGGGATATTAGGTATCACGTTCCTGATTTGAGTTATCACGTGTTTGGGAAGTGGCGAGTAGACCACTAAAAAGCAGACGTTCTTCGTATTCGCATCGGCGTCTGTTATTACAAAAGGTATAAACTCCTCCGGTGGACATCTTCGTTTCAAGCGAAGGCCATCGCCAAAGCAGAAGTTCCAGAGATTCACGGGGACTAATTTGTTCCCCGTATTGGGTGGGTAACAACTGGTGACGGCACCACTCAGTCCAATCTGTTCTATTGAACTAAACGTCGCGGTACTTGTTTTCATGAACTGATTGATGTCATCGACTATATCAAAAGTCCCCAACGTGAAGACTGCAGAGAACAGTCCGTTCGTCACAATTGTGTTTTGACCGCTCGACACGGTGGATTGTAAAAACTTCTTCCTGTGGACTGATTGCAGGTGAGACGAGCTTTCCAGTTGTGAGAGTTGTGTCGATTTCAAATCAAATCGTTTCTTCGTCGCATTTTCATCTTCAGGGACTCTGAAGAGGAGGGTCAATAGAATTTTCCCAATCGCAGAATTTGAGGTTTTGACTTCAAAGAAGTCTGTCAGTGGGGTGTTCGGCACTAAAGTGGTGGTTGTGAGTAAAACAGTTCCCAATATGACCTTAGTTGAGACTATAGTGTGGCGACACACTTCTAGTGTTACCGTCTGAAATTTCTCGGGAATGGGAATCTTCCACGTTTCTTCAAACTTCGGATTACTGGAGCTTGTCGTTTTCGTCCGATACTTCACGTTCTTATGTTTGCAAACACAGTAGACCCCCGTTTCATTCGTTGTAATGATCGCACTATGAAGTGTGACTTCAAACATCACCGGAGATTCTTTCGAAAGTGGTGGAGAGCCGACGGGCTGACCAGTCGACTTCATGTCCATTCAAACGCATTAATCTTTCCCAGTTTTTTTTGAAGGGGCTTCTTTGATAGTTTTTGGTCTTGGGTCGACTCGTTGGAGTTCGTTTTTTGATTCTAATGCATCGGGATTCTGACCTTAAAACATTCGTGTTTCTCTTGTCGTGTTTTTTTGTTGATTTTTTGATAAACTTCACTCAGAAGATTAAAAAACTTCAGAGAAACTATACCTGAACTATACCAAAAAATAACAAACACCAAAATTCAATGATCACTCTTTTTCAACATAAAGAACGGCTGACGGATACAATTTCGCCTCCCGCACTGGGGTTGCCGCAAGAAGCTTGTCAATCCTACTCCGCGGCCGGTTGATCCAAACAGCCATGGTTTCTAATTTCACCACTTTGCCAATCAGCTCCAACACATCTTTGACTGTGTAATTTTCATACACCTCGACCACCTCACTTTTTTTGTCAAAACAAACTTTCACCCGTCCCTTATTTCCAACCTTTGGCTTTTCATCAACGCTGGCATTTTTCTCTTTTTCAGGTTTGACACACAACTCTTCCTTGGCTGGGGTGTAAACAACTTCTTCCAATTTTTCTTCTGGGTTTTCATCTCCCTTTTCCTCCTTCTTTTCGTCTTTGTTTGTTGTGTTTTTGTCAAAGTCCAACGCAATCTGATCAAATCCGAATTGTTTATCGCTCTTCACTGAAATTATCTCCGGGTTCTCTTTATCGTCGTCCAACACGCTTATTGGCTTACACTCCTCCTCAACGTCAACAACCTTTTTTGCTGGTCTGGTCTCCCCAACGCACACAAAGTCGTCAGAACTCGAAGACGAGTCGAATGAAATAACAGTCTTTCTAACTTCATCTTCTTTGAAAGGCTTTCCATTAATTTTCAAAAAGTTTTTGAGTTCCAAATGAAGTTCCTCTGGCGTTGTGTTTGTTTTCAGCCGTTCGACTATCTCGCCAGTAATAGGATTGTGTATATTGAAAACGGGGAGCTGTGTGTTTTTGTACCTCACCTTGTAGTCCTCTTGTGTCTTTATAGTTGATAGCCCTGAGTCACTTGTCTCGACATATTTACCAACAACAGTGAGCGGGACCCAAACCACGAAACTCCGCGACAAGACCCACCTCACCTGCTGTGACTTAATGACATCTCTGATAAACACCAGTTGGTTGAGATCGGTCTCCTTTAAGACGTACGCAGCAACCCATCTGTTTTCCTTCGCAGCTCTATTGCATGCCGCGCCGAAATCTCCAAGTGTCGAGCAGTCGTCAGGAGGTAGGAATTGTGTGAAGTGAGTCACTTTCCCCTTCGCTTCGTCGACGAAATTTCTGAGGACAAGCGTTCTGCTGTCGGAGCGGACAACGGAGTCGTTCAGCGTCTCCACCTTCGCTTTTTGTGCAGGGACATAGGTCGCGTCGACGGTCTGTGATTTGATCTCTTGTGACTCAAAGAAATTGTTTACAGCCTGCTCAAGGTTGTAGTCACACATTTGGAGATACTGTTGGGCGATGTCTGGGGGAGCAGAAGTTGATTCTATGAACTGTGCGAGGATTTTGTCCTTGTCCATCTGTGTTTTTTTAGTCCCTTTCAATACCTTTTGTTCCGCCACGTCAATCTCGGTTTTTTCTTTTTTGGTATTCAAAATGTTTTCCCCTTCTGCAGTTTTCTTTCGTTTTCTAAACAACTCTTTTGTCTGTGTTTGCATGGACTCAATTTTGTCCAAACGAGTCTGCAACACGATAACAAAGTCTTTTCTTATCGGCCGATACGTTTCATTAAGCCCTACAAAGCCATCAATTTTGAGTAATAATTTCATGTGGAGTTCGTTGACTTCTAGACCTTTTTTTTCAAAAAGGCGAAACTCGTTGTCGCTTATTTCGCTCTTCTCATAATCACGAATACTCATGTACTCATTCTCAAAGCGTTCCAGTAAAAATTTGTATTTGTCAATTTCGTTTTGGAGTGACGGAATCGCTGTTGAAAATAAAACGTTGACGTCAACCTCCTCAATTTTTTCTTCATGTTTTGATTTTGGTTGTGAGGCTACCGACTTGCTACTATACCCACCCATTCCTGAATTATTTTATAGTGACGAAAAACATAATTTTAATTGTAATTGTGTTTTTCTTTCAATCAAAAAGCAATTCTTGTTGTTCAAGTGTATAACTTTAATTTACTATTTTATATAGTTTATTCATATTATTTTGAAAACTATAATATGTGGTTAAATTAAGTATCTAATATTATATATTTTGTGTGTAAAAAAAATATAAAATAATTATTGAATTATAGTAAAATCTTTATTTTGGATGTGAAAACAAATTGTGTTATTAACCAATTCGACAAGAGAATGGCTTTGTTACCAGTTCTAAAACTCAAACTGAAATAATAACTAATTAGTAATAATACTATTATAGTACAAATTAATTTGGCAATAGAATGGGTCCAAAGAGTAAAACTCCAAATAATCTACACGTGTGACATATCATTATTTTAAAAAAATTAAGACCTATTGATAATTATTATTTTTTTAAATAAATATATTATAAATAACTAGAAATAAATAAAAATAATTAAGAATAAAAAGTAATTTTTTCAAAAATGCCAAATTTGAAAAGTACAGTT